TCAACCGTCCAACTGTTTTCACTGACTCCAGCAGTGAAAGAGCATTGTAAACTGCCTTCTTCTTTGCCAAAGGGAATCTTAATCTGCTCTTGGAAGGTACGAAGCCTGAAGTTTTCAAGTTCAGCTCCTTCGGCATAGATGACCAAAAGCAATCTTTTTTGGATGTAGTATGGAATGTTCATGTCAATTAAAATGCTCTGAAGTTGCCATCTTTCTTCTTGCGTGCAAGATCTAACATCAAGAAAAGTGGCAGTTCTAAAGCGGTAGAAGGTAGGAGCATCACCAAAGCGCATGTTCCAGAAAAGGGGAATTACCCTTTGGAGGTCTTGTTGAGTAGAGCATGCAATTTCTTGACTTAGACAAGCATAAATTGACGCAAGTGTGTCAGTAACAATGCGAACTTCAGATTCAGCAATGCCGAAGCTGACACAGCATCGATCTGTTGCTCCAAGCTCTGTATGGAGAGGGGGGTCATGCGTATAGACTCGAAATCGAAAGATTCCTGGCACGGCTGTAATAGCAGCTTGAACCTGTGGTGTGAGGGACTTGCTGGAACAAAGCCATGTCTCAGCATATTCCAGATTTGGCGAATAGACTTCAAAGCTATTTACATTACGGGTAGCACTAAGAGCAATGAAATAAGTAGCTTTGGTAAAAGTGCGCAATCGACTGTTTTGCGCAAATTCGAAGCTTTTGTATTTACTGATTCGCTGTATATGAGCTCGATGCCTTCGTAACGAAGTGCAGACCCCAATAGTTAAGTCGATACAAGTCGCACTGAAAGAGCACTCATGAAACAGGAGTACATGTCGTAGTTGGCTACCTGAGTGATAGAGCTGCAAAATATTATCTTGCAATCGACTCTGTATTCCATAGATAATAATATCTATAGGTTGATTCCCAGTCACGACAGCACAGATGTTGCGATATTCATCTTCTCCAACAACGAAAAGATTGCGGCTAAAACGGGCGGTGTTGACCATGCTAGGAAAACGACAAAGAAAAAGGATACGCGGTGAGGCAGCTAAGGAAAGTCCACTAAGCTGTGAAAAAACTCCTTTCGTCTCAAAGGAGTCGAGGATATCATCGTAGATAAATTGCGAAATCGTGCAAGAGACTTCTTTAGAAACCATTCTTGGAGACTAAAAGAACCTAGACGAATCTCAAAAGGTGTCTAAGGACACCCCTCGAGCGTGCTTTTAGGAGGACTGTTGGATATTGAAATCAAATGGAGTCTAAGGACCCCACTTGATAAGAATTGTACGGTGTCTAAGGACACCACACAATTGTTTGAAGGTGAGATCAAGTATCCTAACTAAACTAACCTAACTACGCGTAACGACCCGAGAAAACTTCTTCTCTTTAAGAAGTAGTCTTGAACCTCCTAGCTCAACGGCTTTTGCCGCGAGTTTGAGCCGAGACGCTTGAGCCAAAGGCTACGGAAGGAAACACTGCCTACATTGGCTTGGGGGCCCTTGCTGGTTTGTTGTTTTTTGGGTGTTGTGTTTTGGGGTTGGTTGTGTTTGGTTCTTGTTTCTCTCCCCCCACCAACTTGCAGCGTTTCCATTCTTCTCATGATGACCTGGGCACACCGTCCACACTGCGTCCGCACTCGTGGAAAAAAGGAGCTGCGGGAAGGATGGAGAAGGGTCAAGTGCTCTCTCTCTGTCCACGACGCGGCAGGCATGTGCGGGTCATTGTCATAGGTCATTTCTTTACAGTAGACCCCCGCAACAAGAAAGGGGTTGTCTTCCGCGCCTTCCTTTCTTGTGCGGTACCTCCAGCCACTCTTCACTTCCGCTGGTTGGAATTGGTGTTGCAAAATGGACTGCACTAGGGCTGGGAGAAGCTGCACTGGGAGATTTGCGAAAAGATCATTGACAGGAAGTGTTTGCTCTCCACGCGTCATTCCTCGCACAAAGGACATTATGACGGTTTGCATAAAGGTAAGTGCATCCACTTCGTTCTCATTGGACTCCTCTTGTTTGGCAGGATCTGTCTCAGCTGCTTTTGCTCGTTTGAGTCTGAGCTCTATGTTGAAAGTACAGCACCCTGAGACAAATGCTAGGAGACCATACTGCCAGAACAGGGGATTCGCATGGAGCGCCAGTTGCTTCTGAGGGATGAAAGCACGGCGGGTGGCCTTGCCCAACGAAGGCAAACAGTTCGCAGCGAAGGCATTGCTGATTTGTAGCAGGTCTCCTATGGCAGGATGACCTTTTAGAAGGTTTGGTGTGGCTAGACGTGGCTAGAAAATGCTTAGAGAACCTTTTAGCAGCACAGCGTGTGCATGGAGATTGTTTGAGAAAGTTCTCGTTAGTTTTGTGTAGGTTTGAGATGACAGTGAACAGTCTTGACTCTTTTAAGAAGAGTTGACAAGCTTTTTGGAGGCTTTGAAAACCTTTGAGGCAGGGTGAACCGACTGTGACTTTGGCTCAAGGAGCGGGACCGAAAAGGGGAAGCTGCCGCATCCGTGTTTTCACACGGCACACTTGGGTGACTTTGCCAACAATCGAAATGACCTGGCTTCCCACATCAACGACAGTCAGTGTTCTTTCCTGCACCAAGGTGGTTTGTCGTCCAACTGCCTTGCTGGTTTTCTCAAGCAAATTCCAAAACTCTCGACAGCCTCTCGCAAAAGGCGACTCCAACAATTCCTTCATGGCAGTTGATTTGCCGTGGAAGGTACGATGTCTGTGTGTGTCCTGTGGCAAACACCTCACAATGATCATGCGGAATCGTGCTGATCAACTTCCTGCAACTGCAGGTCTCAAAAAAATGCTTTTAAGCGGTTGAACTTTTGTTCCAGAAACAACCAAGTGTCCAGTGGACTTCTCGAATTCCCTGCAGTAGAACATCCCAGTGCCTTCAGGCCACTGATGTCCAGACGCATCATCGATTCTCGCAACGACAGCACTTCCTTTCGTGTTGTGACTCCCACAGCTGGGGTGAGTCCACGAAACACTTCGTACCTGCAGGGTGAAGGAGAGAGAGAGAGAGAGAGAGCAAGGAGGTTCCTTCCTGTTTTGCATGGTTTGCTTCAACTTGGAACAACTTCGCCGATCGAACACCTGCTTCTGGGTCTTGGAATCCGCTGCAGTTCATCCAGGAAAACCACAATGCAAAATTCTCGAAATGTTGACCAGGCATTGATTTCCGCTTTTCTTCCATAATCTTCAATTCGCAGCTGATCAAGACGCTTCCTCAGTTTTTTTTCATTTTCTTTCCTTTGCGTTCATTTGCTTCTCTCTGCCTGATCTTTCTGATTGTTGTTGTTTATTGTATGATGTTCTGGTGGCTTCTCAACGCTTCCTGCGTCAAACCTAATCTCCGGAGAAGGCAGGACTGGTAGGAGCTTCTGGCGGGTCCACATGAGGACTCGGTGTTGGCACATTCCGACGACTGACCGGGACTCTGGGACCCGGCCGACGATGGAGTGGACAAAAAAGAGTCGAGTTCCAGGTCGCGTTCCGTGCATGTTTTTCTTTGGAGAGATGGTTCGCCAGCACTCCAACGCCAGGGTTCGACGTCAAGGCTTCCTCAAAGGCGACGACCCTCAAGAAGGGACGACCCTTATGTTCCTCACGGATATGGATCCGCCCGGCCTGGGGCCTAGCGGACCTAGCCACCGTCCAGAACCGGGTCACTGGAACTCGGACGTTCTGCAACTCGGGGGGCGGTGCTTTGTGCTACAACTCGTGGTAATTGGTCGTTCCACAGACCAGCTCTGAGGAAGTTTGTTCCCCCGTTGGGAGGAGTAAAGGCCTTCATACCGCAGCTACTGGTACTTCAGCCAAGTTGCAGTTGCAGCAACCACGCAGTGAAGAGACCACATTCACAAAACCACTCACATTTCCTGTAGCAGCCCACTCTTTGTTTCTCTTTTTTTATTTTTTATTTTTATATCTCTCTCTCTCTCTCTTTCTCTCTCTGCATCGTATCTATGTATCCATGTGTAAGGATGAGAGCCAGTCCTTTGGCGTTGGCTCGACTCTGACGCTTCAGTGGTCTACAAAATCAAGCCTATAGGTTGAGAACAAAGGCAAGAGCACACCTTCCTCAAGCCTAGTACTTGCTGGAGATATGTGATTGCCGATGATTTCGGTACAAGTAGATAAAGAGAGATTCAACAACACTTGAGGTGACCTACTACTCCAAAGCCACGACTTATTGGTCACAAGCCTCACGGTGTTTGGCATTGTTTCTTCAGGAGTTGTGGGTCTTCAACCATTTTTTGTGAAGCCGGCACTCCATGTTTGATAGAATGTTTTTGGGCTTTGGATTGCCAAACGATCCCACCCCATCAACCCAAGAACTGGGCGGAGTATTCAGTTGGAGTATTCTGTAGAAAAAAAAACCAAACCAACCTCACCGAAGCATCCGACCAACGAAGCATCGCACCTCTTCTGAGCCGATCCGCCTTTGGCGCATGGGCGAGCAGATCTGCCGGAAACCGGCGTGGACGCCCAGCGAGCGAACGAACGATGCGCTCGGACGAAGCGGTGTTCCCGTGTAGCACCCCTGGCGCCATAGTGGTTCAAGGAAACTTGGAGACTGGGGAACATGGTCAGTCAAAGGAATCAGAGGAACTGATATATACATCATGTTGCACATGTGTTCTGCAACATGTCAGTATGGTGAGTCTGACTGAAAGCCATATGTCTGAGCCAGTGAAAACCAGTAGTTTCCGGAAGTACTTAACGAACTGACAGCCAAATCTGGTTCTTGAACGTTTGAAAAGGCTTAGGATTGGGGTGAGCTGAAGATAAGATGGCTATTTTCACCTTCCAAGGATCCGCTTGGTGCCATCCTGCTTTTGACTCAAATACGATGACTAAACTTACTTAAAGCTGTGCATCGCAGAGGGTCGATGCAGTTGTGCGATTGGTGCCATCCACTGAGTACCTGTTCATGCGTTCATGGAGAGCCAGTGGAAACGACACGCGTGGAGCAACTGTCTTGCAAGGCGGAAGCGCACAGGGCGCAGCTTGACGGAAAGCATGGCTGCCACTTGGTCACATGTACTGTAGGATTCAGGGGAGGGTCATATGCAAGAAGCTTCAACCTTTTCAAAAACCCCTTTCAAAGACTTTCAAGCAATTCAAGGCAACTCGAAGCAACTTCCCGTTTGGATTGGTCTATTTTTGCTAGAAGAGTTCCAAAAACCATCTAAAACTGGTGTCATTTTTTCGGTTCCCAACCCGGTTCCCAACGCGGTTCCCTTCGGTTCCAAGGAGTTGCGTCGGCTGGTGGAAGTGATCTTCAAGTGGAAGCTGGGATATGGCGCTTCCCTGGAACGACAAAGCTGTTCGGAGCAGGGAGAGCAGGGATGGAGCCAGGGAGAAGGTTCGGCTGCCGAGATCTCGGGGTGCTGATGGGGGTGCTTTGCCCGGGTGCTTTGGGGAGAACCGGTTCGATGTTGGTGCTTTTGCAGAGATTTTGTGGTGCGCACAGGACTAGGCAGCTGTGGCAGATTGCGTGTGGTTGCGTTTGGCTGGTCATGAAGGTTCAACAAAAAGTTATCTCAAGATTCATGTGGAGATCAAGGTCCAAACAGCTGTGCAAGCTGTGTGGCGTCCTAAGGCTACATCGAGATTCTTCAAGATATTGGTGTCACATTGCAGGAGGCCCAATTCCTTCTGCAGGAGAGCAGTCGCATGTTCATGAAAAGAATTGCCTTCGATGCAGGTTCGCATAAAAACGGACCAATCCTGTATGTGGTGTTCGGTATTCGGAAAATCGTTTTTTGGGCACCATCTGCTGGTTGGAGTGAAGACTGAATTCTTTTGTTCCAACAAGTGGCCTCCAAATTGCTTTTGCATTCACTTTTGACCCGCAGTTGACCACAGCGAACAATCCTGACACTGAGCAGGAGTACCCAGAAGACTCGTGGATTGGCAGCTTGGCAGAGATTCAAGAAACATCTTGGCAGGATCTGAAGATCGTCCAACCTTGTGGACTCACAAATACTTAGGGTCCGTCCGAACTGACCTGTAACAGGACCCGTAAACACTGTATCACTATTTTTGGATAAGGCCTGCAACCTAACCATCATCATCCACTGTTACAGGCAATAGGATATGCCCAAGAAATACTGACCAAACTTTCCAGGTGTGAAAGACTTCCTGGAGATTTTCTTCACTTCTGAGGTGCACAGTGGGAGATTCATTGTGTGAGAAAAATCCAGCACCATCCGAGTTTTGATGCTTTTGGATGCAAAGAGCTGGATGATCAGAGGACATTATATAGGACATTCCGGAGTCTCTACCCGACTCTACCCCCATCCCATGATCTAGCTGGCCTAGTTATTTGATCTTATTTGGTATTCGAGCTCAGCGGTTGCCGATTCTAGCCTTGTTCATTTTCCTGACGGTCCGTCGGTCCGTTGCAATCCGTGTCGAAGGGTTCAGGTTCCGGCATCGTTTCAACTGCTGACTCCAGCCAAGAAACTCTTATCTTTGGAGACTTGAATCATGTTGGCCCAACTTCTGCCATTAACATGTTGGCAATCTGTGTTCAGTCAACAAACAAAACCAACCTGGGAGAAGCGAAGGAGGAAGGTTTCTGGAACATACCAAATCCAGTTGATCACCACTTAACTTTCCCCCCACAAGCATTGCGTGCCGTGCTTCTGGGAAGATTGAATGGTCTTCATTCACGAGTTGCGTAGAATGGGTGCGAGAGTCCCTTTATATTTACCAGGCTACAGCCTGCAGCCGCCGACCCCCAAGGGATAGAACCTTAGCGCTAGCCTTGCTCTATGTTAGCCCACGGTGTGGGGTCGGCGGATTAACCTACAACACGTCCATGCAAAAGTTCTGCGACAGCAGAGCCTCTTTTTTTGTCCACGCTGGACAAGACAGATCGCGTACCCGGTCGTGCCGGTCATGGTCATCGTGTGGATCACCAGGGATGGAGGGAAGTGGTGAGGGAACGAGCCACAAATCGCGCGAGTCACAAGGATCTGTGTTTCTCCAGACTTTTGGGACACTGTTCACGGGTCTGTTCGCTCCACTGGTTGGTCGACTCTTCGACTGATGCGAAGTTGGTCGACTGATGCGATGGCAACTCGTTTCATCGGATTTGCGAAGCATTCATAGTGATTTTGCATCTCCAGCTGCAAGGCGCCGAAAGAAGAGCATTCTACTTCTACGCCAAACCAGGTGAAGGGTGACAAGGCCAGGGCTCAAAGTCAAGTACCGGATGATGGAAGGACAAAGGTTTTCATTAGTGCTTTTGACTCCACTTAGTATCAGAGAGCTCTGTTGTTGGCCTCTCCTTGCCTGACATGCCAATCTACTTCCTTGAGCCAGTCACCTGCACTTACCTCTCCATTCATTGGGCTTTTGCAAACATCGCTGATAGACCGGTTCGCAGCCGCAGTGGTCCTTGGTATGTGACTCTGGAACCCAGTGGACTTTCAAAAGGAAGTCTCAGTTTTGTTATTGCTGTTTTGCCAAAGTCTCTCCCTGCCCTGCCCCAGGCCAGTCTCAAAGAATATTTTGAGAAAGGCTACAAGCAAGGTCTTGTTTTCGATCATGACGAGTACCAGCATGACGCGGAAGACTGGTGCTGGGTCCATACCAAACTGGGCGTGAAGGCGACCTTGAACATTTGAATGTTCAATCTTTTCATTCTTCCTTTTATTTGTTTCTTTTTTTCTAATAGCGTTGGCCTGCAACCTAAGAGCGATGGCCTCCAACCTAAGAGCGATGGCCTCCAACCTAAGAGCGATGGCCTCCAACCTAAGAGCGAATATGCAGTTGTTGCATGGCATTTGATTCTTTTCAAGATCTTTCACACTTGGTGAGCTGGGCAAGAGCTGACCGAAGTCTCTCTCAGGTCTGGCAGGATGCCGTCGACATGACTCAAGCCAGTGGTGCCGCTAATATACAATGCTTGTTCCACTACACCAGTGAGCTTGGCTTTAAGAACATAGTGGACGCGAGAAAGTCAGTGGTCGAAGTCTTCGTGATGCCCTCAGCAACCATTCTATGAGTCCTATGCAAAGGTCAATGTCTTGCATTTCATGCATCCCATTTAGCCAGCTCCCCGCGTTTGCATATTTGCAGCCACAGGCCTCTCTGATAACGACGGGTGAGAAGGCCAACGCCTGGTGGGGAAGAGGCAAGGCTCGTCATTGCATCGATTGCGATTAGAACTAAGCTATAGGCTGTAGAGATCAGGCATGCATGTGTGTGCGCCAGAATGTGAAAACAGATGTCTCACAGTTTGTGCAAAGGTTTAGAAGGAACTTTGGAAAGTGCACCCATTCATATCAACACATCTTTGTGCCAGAGCATTTTCCAGGAGTAACAAGAAGCTACTAGTAACAAGTGCATCGCTTCTAGTAACAAGTGCCTTACTAGTAGTAACAAGAAGCTAGTAGAAGCATTTTCCAGGAGTTTACTCGGTGCAGAAGTCCCCAGATGAGTGGCCAAGCATCGAAGCACTCATTGACAACAACTACCGCAATATGCTCAAGAGGGACAGCGACTTGAGGGGTCGTGAGGCAGCTGTGGAGGAGAGAGCTCCTGTGTGATGCCCTTTTGCCAGTCTAATCTTGCCAGAAGACTCAGAGGACACTGGAAGTAAGACTTCTTGTGGATGCATGTGCCATTTACATTTCTTGACGGAGGAGTACAGGTCAAGGGTTGCCTTCTGTATACCTATCTTGGTCGATGAATCCATCGCCTATGATGTGTCCAAGAGACAAACGCCGGAAATGGTCGAAAAGGCTGGGGCCTATGCAACTTTGAGATGTCTATTTCTTGGGTAGCAAGTTGTGGAACTGGATCATTTTTGCATGTTGTCTACATTATACATTATTTTGCAGGGGAAGCCTGTTGGTGTGCCACGCGCCTAGTTGCATGTCCCACACGTGACTCCATACATACAGTAACTATTGGACCTCCTCGGAATTGGATGGGAAGGGGCTGACTTCGCCTAGGAACCTAGCTGGAAAGCAGCTCAACGAAGATGGTATGCCACCTCGACAATGTATCGTCGTCCGAGCAGAACGGGCGGAGAAGGTTGGCAACGCCAGTGCAGTGCTGGTGGAATCGACGCTTGTTTGCGATCAGCAATTCAGCTTGCCAAAGGGTCATGCATGTCACACCTAGGGATAACTAGGCTTCATCCTCAAATGTTTATCGAGATGTTTGGTGCTACTATGTTCTATTGTCAGGCAGCTTAGCAGTGAACACTTGGAGGTCAACAAGAATTTGTTCATTACTCAGGGCGCATGTGTTTGCATTGCCAGAAGAAAACAAGCAGCTCAAGCAACAGAGGCTTGATAGATTCTCCAACCATAGACCTCGGGCCTCGGGGCAGAGCAATCTGTAGTCCAGCGTTCAGCATGAATGTAAAGGTTCTGTGAAGACAGAAGATGTGCAACCCATTGTGAATCCTTTTTTGGGTAAGGCTCCGCTGCCGCGCCGAAGCTATCAAAGAGAAACTGGGATCAGAACATTCTGAAGCGCTCAAGGCGTTAAGCCGGCTTGGCCCTCGGTCTATTCACCAAGACATATATGAACCAAAGCAAGATCAGTGGATTTCCACTCGTTTCAGACTTCCCAGACGAAAGATTTCAACCTCATTTGACGATGCCAGAGTCCACATCTTCCAGACTCCAACTCTTCCCACCAAAAAGCCTTTGAAACTGAAGCAAAATCCCCACTTGACCCCACTGGGTCCCATCCCACGCTCCGTCCCCAGGCTGGCGATCGTGCTGACGGCGCGCGGTGACTTGGCTGAGGCGGAGAGGCTGCAGCGGCACGTGCTGGAGGCCTACGAAGCGCAGCGAGGCAAAGAAGATCCGGAGACCCTCAGGGCAGTGAACGGTCTGGCGATCACGTTGAAATTCGCCGGGAAGCAGATGGACTCCCTGGCATTGTTCAGACAAGCTTTGGCCGGACGTGAGGCTCAGCTTGGACCGGTGCATGTAGAAAGCCTGGCGTCAGTGTTCAATCTCGGACGGGCCTTGTTGGATCTGGGCAAGCTGGAAGAGGCTGAACTTGTTTGCAGAAGAGCTTTGGCAGGGTGTGAAGCTGAGCTTGGGGCGATGCACCCCGCCACCTTGGCTTCACTAGACAGCCTTGGCGGGTTGTTGAGCAAGCAGAGGAAGTTGGAGGATGCTGAAGTGCTTTTTAGACGGGCGTTGACCCGAACGGAAAGTCAGGTTGGAGAGATGCATCCGGACACCCTCACTTTAGCCAACAACCTTGCAAATGTGCTACTGGATCAGGAGAAATTGGAGGATGCGGAAGCGCTTTACAGACGAGCGTTGGCAGGATTTGAGGCTGAGCTTGGAGCGATGCATCCGGAGACCCTGTTTCCAGTGCATGGCCTTGCAGTTTCCCTACGGAAGCAGGGCAAGCTCGAGGAGGCTGAGCTGCTTCAGAGAAGAGCTCTGACCGGACGTCAGATGCAGCTCGGGGCCATGCACCCAAGCACGCTGGCCTCCGTTGGGCATCTTGCGAAGCTTTTGGAGGTCAAAGGCTGCCTGGCCGAGGCCTGGCCGGTTCGCGGGTTCGTTCGGGTGAAATCCGTCCCAAAAGCTGTAAAACATTCGTTTAACTTGCTTCTTGTTCCTCAATGATCTTGTTTCTAATAGCTTCTTGTTACTACTAGTAAGGCACTTGTTACTAGAAGCGATGCCCTTTGCTCCTAGTAGCGTCCTTGTTCCTAGTAGTTATT